ACGCTTTTTATTGATTATTACCTTTAATCGGACCATTGTCTGATAACATCTGATTTTGCGAAAGGAGTGCACATTACTCTTCCAATCCCATTAAATAAATTGCATGATAGTCTTCGGATGCGGACGAGCTGTTGAAGTAGTTGATGGCAAAATCTTTTCGCTTCACATTGTTGTAAGCAATTCATATTTCATGTTTTCATTTGATCTTCATAAACGACACCTATCTTTGTTGCTGTTTGAAGATCGTTCTTTTTCTCAAATGACGAATATGCACCTCATTTTCTCTTTTAACATAAAAACATTTAAAATTTGCAACCCACACATGAATAGTATAAAAATTTCACCTTTTACAATATGTATATGTCATAAATTTCAGTCACGTGTTAAACGAAATCATGCATGCAGACTCCACCTTCAAAAATGCTACGCACTTTTGTTCCGACCCAGTATTTGTACATTTATGTTCAGGATGTTTGACACCATATACATAAAATATAATAGACAATACATCACGCTTATCATTGTTGATTAATTTCAAAGGCCTGGAAAATAATTTTCATGGGCTGGAGGGATAGTGTTATATTTCCCGACTCTCAGAAAAATCTAAAATACATATTCTGTGAATATATATTTTACTGAGCTGAAAGAAAATGGTTCATGGTAGACATTTTCTCAATAAATCATCGCCAAATGAAATCGAAGAGCGTGTGCATTTATGAAAAGCAATCAGGTCAGTTTTATCGGTTAACTCGAGAGAATGATCTATATATTATAGAGTATCTATCTGAAGGAATTAAACTATTCTTTCAAAAATGATGCTTTCCAATGCAATCACTTAGTTGTTTACAATAGTCAAGAGACCTCGGCTACACATGAAACAACTCGAAACATTGAGATCGGTGAAATATTTGAAATCAGTAAGATTTTTCATTTCCTTTTCCAGCTAACGTTATACCGAACAAGGTTGACATGTACCTAATAACTTAACACGGACTTGATGAATGAGTTGTTCTAACATTTAACAGTAAAAATATATGTAATCAACGAGTGATTCATTAAATCCAATATTTCTTAAATAGAAGAACTTTAAATCATGTTTTTTTTACTGTTTTCAGCAAATAAACATTTAGATTCCATGAAATATTTAATTTATACATGGATAAAGCATTAAGTTTCTAATATTATGAGAGGCACTGTATATATTCATGTATGTGTATATTTATGTCTGTAATATCTGTAAATTTCAACGCCACCAAGACAAAGAAGGTTAGAATTGAACTAGTAGCGTCAGGTGGCAGTGACTTTATTATGACAATGGCGAACTATGATGAAGTTGAAACGTGAAAAGAATGATTCCTTTATGAAATACTTTTCATAATATCAATAAATTAGCCAAATCATCTGTCATTTATGTTAGCCATATGAATAACCTAGTAAACTTTAACATTTAAATATTGCTGGAAATTTGAACTTGTGGGAAATTGCATTTTGTAGCAAAATGATTGTGACGAAAACATTTCTAAGGAAAAATGAATTTTTAAATACGCACAAAAATATAAATCGATGCATAGTGTAAAATCAATTACAACTGAATGAATAGTGAGTTCAGTCCACACTGGGTGCGCCATGCTTTCGGCCTTGTGCCACATCTAGGCTGTGCTAACTAAATTGCTGTAAATCCGAAGCAGATCTCGTCTCATTTTTCATGTTCCCTGAAGAAAAGAAGAACGAATAATTCTTCAGACAAATCCCGTTTATATAGAATTGACCAGCATTACTAAGATTTGTTTCAAACTTCATCTAGTCTTCTAAATTTAATATCCAATATTATTAAAATCTCGACGCCAATTCAGTTAGTGATTTTCATCTTCAATGCAGCTGTAAACATATACAACTGACGTATTTATATTACTTATGTATAATTAGACATTCAATTTCATTTCATTTATTTGCTACATTCCAATGCAATTGGGTGCATACACATAACTTTGTTCGAAGAATGTGTCAAGAACATTTTAATAAGAAATCTAAAAGGAAAATACGGACAGACTATGATTGCTTTGTTCACTAAATATAACAAGAATGATAAATAAATTAGCTTCTGAAACAGAAGCCGATAGCATAAACAGACTTATACAGCCTTAATGTATAATGCATGTTCATGGTTCTGAAACTAGTTTTAAAAATCATTCATGCATTGATTTTCCAAGCTATTATACTTTTTCAAAAGAAACAAAAATATAATTGAAAGAGAAACTGAAAATAGACATTGTTTATTTCTCTTTGTCTATTTTATTGCATTATGTGTACAAAGTTTGAAATTAAACTGGGTTAAACAAATTGACATCTTCTCTCCATTTAAAATTACCCATATTATTTATTACAAGTATTATTGTAGAACTACTTCATAGTTAATAAAACTAAGATACTTAAAAGATATTATTTAAAACATTTACTAATAGCATAAAACTGCGTTTCTTTCATTCTTATTTTTCTTTTCTTATTTTTATTAGCAATCTGCTTCTCGACAGTTTTAAACTGTTGAACGACAAACATCTAACAATTCTGTGTCTGATTTCTTTGTTTGGATACCCATTCACACAAATTCCTTAAATAGGTAACTCGCTGCTCACCGCCACGCTCAGTTTACCTTCAATATATCCTGTGAGTACTAGATTCTCCATATTTTCTTTCCTCTTTGTGTCCCCAGAAATTTCAACTGTCTCTTCCTTATTGTAAGTACCCTTGTAGTTACTAGTTTCCTTAAAACTTCATCGTTGTTCTCATGCTCTGTCAATGCGGAATAGCATTGTCCTGCATTTGTCTCTTCATCTGTGATAAGATTTTCGAGCATCCACTACTAAATAGAAGAGCTGATATTACATAGCAGTTCAGTTTTTTCTTTCGAAAGAAATTTTCCTATCTCATAATATTTTGCTTAGATTCTCGAAGATACTTTCGCTATTACTTTGCACCTTCTAATTTCTGTCTCACATTTCCTGTTGTCTGTCACTACACTACCCAGATAGTTGAATTTCCATTCCGGTTTGATTTTGACATCTTCAAATACGTATATCACAATTTCAGCAATCTATTTTGCTAACCAACATTCATCATGCATTATCACAGTTAATAGAGAGGCATTTCAGTCTTTCTTTTGAATATGTCATCAACATAGTGACAACAGGGTAAGATTATGCTCACCGTTAAAACTTCTGATAAATCCTATAACTCTTTTGAAAAATTGGTGGCTGTAACACAATGAACACTCGAGAATATGTCTATATTTTGGTAATATTTTATTTTCATTTAATCTTTACGAAAAGGTACTGAAAAGTTTTCGACCGGACTCATTTCTTAAAATTTATATTTTGACAAACAAACATCAGAACACTTATTTTGAGAAATGAGTTGTGTTTAAAAATGTTCAGCATTCCCTTCGTATATAAGATTTAAAATATCATAGTTCATCGGCAGATATCCTTATTATCTTCTACAGTTGTAGATAATAATCAATAAGGAAGGCGTAAGAAATTGGACTTACTTCTTATACTAAAACACAAAAGTTGATGAAAATATCTCATGACATTGTATGAACATGCCAGGCAGCAGTGTACACATATACGACTTTTTTAGTGTTTTCTTTTGCTTTTACATAAAGTAAGCATGTCATTTTGACTGGTGTAAGGCCGTGATAATGTTGTTTGCAAACGATGAACGGATTATAAGCGAAAGTTTGTATTATTCTTGATGAACTAAAGAAAAAAAATTGTGGAAGGAAAAAGGCATACTCCTAAAAGTTACACATGGTTAGAGATTAGCAACGTGAAGAGAGAAGAGAGAAATTGCGAGTCTGGTAACGCTGTTTTCTGTCAAATTAACATCCTCATAAAAAGAAAAAATTAATCTTACTACCGTTTTTACCATTTCCCCCTACCCCACCCTTTATTTCCCTTATTGAACGGGAATTACTCCCTTTTCTTCCTTAGAATCATTCTGCAAATTCCGGAGTGACGCTAAAATATAACAAAATTTATAAAATTTTGCTTGGACAATAATTTTTCTCATTTCCTTGTCTCCCATAAAGAAGAGGAAAATATTCCTGTTAATAATTTCTGAAATGTAAAATATGTCGGGGGTTTATAAAACGCAAACACACACAATTTTATCCACACATATTGACAGAAGAAAACGAGTTCCTTCTACACGTACAATTGATATTTATCTGTCGTATTTCGATTTTGGCGATCCAAATAAAATGATAAATATTTAGTTACATGTTTTCATTTATCAATGACTATACAATGACTGACTTTTTCACTCACAGCAAAAGGTTAGTAGTTTATTAATGAATGGATTTTTCTTTTCTGGGCTTTGCTATAACTATAAAAATCCATGTGTGTTGAATTCATCTTTCTTTCTTTTCAGATTGCTGAATTATTTTTATGGAATTCTGTTCAGGGACTCACGGTTAATCTAGACGGACGTTAACCTAAATGTTACTTTTGGGTTGCCTTCAAAGATTTTAAAACTATTTGATATAAAAATACCAAATGTATCTGTATTCTAACATTAATATCATATGTAAAGTTGGTGAAAGTGTAGTTAATATAACAAAATTCGCTAAATCAATAAAAACAGATGTTCAGTGAAACTTGTATAATCGTTATTTTTATTTGATGAATAGTTTTAATGGATCTAGAATTAATAACTCTGATATTCTTTTCCCATTACTAAGCATATTCACACACACACACACACACACACACACACACACACACACACACACACACACACAGAGGCATCTCTCTCTCTCTCTCTCTCTATATATATATATATATATATATATATAGATAGATAGATAGATAGATAGATAGATAGATAGATAGATATTATACATTAATTATTACAGCTGCAGCTTCTATAAATCCAATGAATATTCATATTCCGTTTCACCTTTTCTTATCTTTGTCAATCTCTATTCCGGTGAAAAGATATATTTACTTGATTTCAAACTCTGGATCATTTTTCTGAAGGGAGAGTTCACTTTTTTGAAGATCGTGTGACATTTGTAAATATTTAAATCCTTGTTCTATCTCTCGCTCGAGTAAAGCCACATCTTCGGCGGCGACTGGCCAGTTGTTTTCGCGAAGTGCCCCCAATAACCGTGCCTTGTTCTTGAAAAATGGAAGTGGTGCTTCACTTCCTAATCTGAAAAAGTAAAAATAAACAAATGGTTTTAATTAGGACGTATGAATATATATATATAAACTTACCTAACCAATTACAGAAATAAAATCAATATTAATATCAAGTATTTTAAAAACTTTTGAAGAATACTACTTTTCCTTTTCTTTTAATAGTAAATCATGAAAATAGCCCTACCTTGATGCATTTTTTTCATAACACCCTCTTTCTCCCTTGTGCACGCTCACACACAAACACACACATATGTGTGTGTATATGTGCGTGTGTATGTGTGTGTTTTATCTTTTTTCATTCTCTCAGCACACTAACCATTTGAAATAGAATGCCAAATACCATCTATGTCTTTGTATGTAACACATGTTTATTTTTTATTTATTTTTTTTATTTTTTACTTTAAAGTGACTAACCTTTTCTTTGTACTCTCCGGTAACGCTTTCCAAATTATGTTATCCAGGAAACTGTATTGAAAAAGAAAAATATGCAAATGTATTTAATTTTTGATTTCCACATCTATAAAAAGGTCTGCATCTGAATTAATAAATAAATAAATATGACATGAAGAAAAAGCGTGTCTTAATGATACAGAGAAATAAATACTTAAATCAAGATAGTGGAGAAAAACGGAAAAACAAAAATTAAAAAAACATCTGGAAAAGAAATTTCATGATTATTTATTAGGAAGAAAGAGTAGAATCAACTTAGAAGGAAATGAAGAAAGAGAAATGAAAATGCAAAATTTAGATAGATAGATAGATAGATAGATAGATAGATAGATAGATAGATAGATAGATAATCTGGAAAATCATTTCTCATATAATGTTGTCTTTCCTAATAATATAAGCTAATATAAGCGAGCTTTATCGCTGTTTTGAGAAAATGACAAAGTTCGACGAACAGTATAAGTTCTTTTGGTATTTTTATTAATCATTAATTCTAAAATAGCAAAATACTGATTAAAAGTGATTGACACATTTATTTAATGGTTGCAAACCTGGATTTCTGTTTTAATGTCACTATGTATATCACTCATCCAACATTGTCGTTAACAGCGAAAGCTATTTAACTATAATTTTTCACAAGCACTTTATCTATTTACGGTATTATACACAAACATGGTTTGTACTTTCACGGACGGCACTAGGTTATTCGTCGGAGTTTTTTTTTTCTTTTTCAGCAAATAATTATTATTATTATCATCATTAAGTTGGGAAGCAGTGTTATATCCGAAATCTTTTAACTCCTCCGACTGCAACTCCAACGGCAACTAACACTGGCCCCGACTCTCTCCAAATCCAACTCCAACTAACTTTGGTCCACGTGGGCACTTTTATTCATGGGTGTCCCTTTCAACTGGTGTGGTGCGGGCGAATAGGTGGGTTTTATGCAAATCTCCCAAAATTCAACCAGTTGCTTTCTTTCGTTTGCTATTTCACATATCTAATTTTGGAAGATCCCCTCCTCTTTCGAGAGGAGCCACTATATGATGTCAGCCTTTCTGACGTCATCTTCTGCTTTTTAATTTTTCGTTCTCAGGGAAAGTTTTGCCGACAATTATTCTCAGCAGGTAGTCAAGCCGGACATCTCTCAACAGCCGACCTTAACCTCTGGCCTCTGATCCTGCACCTGTTCGACGAACTGCATTGTTTAAATTTTTCAACAAAATTCATACATCTATTCCCATATCCTGGGAAAATAATTCTCTTTCTGAAAAAATTTAAAATCCTTTTGTTTTAACCCTTTTCGTCCGTTTAACCCTTTTCGTCCGTACGCCATGTTAAATATTGTTACACTGAAATCGAGCAATGCTCCGTGGAATTTTCATGTCCTGAGAATAAATAAAATTTATTAGATTAAAATTTCAAATCGGAGGAGAAAAATATTAATCTTAATTATGCTAATATCTTAAATTACTCACCACGAAAATTAATTTTTCCTCTTACACACACACACACACATATATATATGTGTGTGTGTGTGTGTGTGTGTGTGTGTGTGTGTGTGTGTGTTATTATAAATTTAAAATTTAATAGCTAGCGCGTAAAAATTTCATAGACACATAGATCAGCACACACGCACGCACGGACGCACATATATATATATATATATATATATATATATATATATATATATATATATATATATATATATATATATACATATATATATATATAGTTGCAGGACAATTATTCTCCCCTTCCGTAATTACAAATAAATCTGTAATACTTTTCATGGAAAATTTATTCTGTAATATTTTCATGGAAAATTTATACATTTTTTCACAAATTATGAAATAATGGATTTAAAACAATATGCAGTAATGCAAAATTTCTATTTTTTTTTTAATGTCAAGAATAATACAAAAGAACATTTAACATAGTACAAAATTATTGGTCCTCTTGCCTCAATAATCAGTTGTGCCGCCTCTTGATCATTGCCTTTAATCATTTTTGATAGTTCCATACAAGATCACTAGACACACTGATAGGTATTTTGTTCCATTCTTTCTTGACAATAACTTCTAGTTCCTCGAAATTCGAATATGCCCATAAATTCTTAATGGGTTTAGGTCGGGGTGTGCCAATACCTTAATTTTGCTGGCGTCTAAGTATTTTGTAACAATTCATGTCGTGTAGAATGTCTAGTGATGCCCCAAAACAGCATCCATGTACTTTACTTTATATTATTTTTAAGAATAGCCAAATACTGTTCTTTATCCATGATACTCTCACTAGTTCGCCTGGTTCAGAAGCATCAAAACATCCCCAGAGTAGAATGTTACTACCACCATACTTAATTATTGTTTTTTTTTGTTTTGTTTTTTTGATCGTTTGTTGTTTTGTTTTTGCGGGGGGTAGCTTCATTCACTTTCCTCCGTACATACAGGGAGTTCATGTGACCAAATAATTTTAGTTTGATTTCATCTGACCATAAAACAAAGTTCTAATATGTACTCCCATGTTCTAGATGGCTTCTAGCATAAGCTAATCTGCATTTTAGGTATTTAGCAAAGGAGTTTTCCTTGAATGACAAGTCCTGTTCGATGAAAGCATCTGGTGACTGTCGATACATTCAACCCTGATGTCTTTCCATCATTGACAAAAAACATTGACAATGTTCTTTATCGTTAAGAGAGGATTCTTCGAGACATCCACTCACAATTTTTCTTTTCATTCTCTCAGAAATTAACTGTTTACTGCCAGTCCTTAATTTATTCTCAACACAATGATATCACGATGTTTGTTTATTATTATTATTGTAATTATCATTTGTGCATGTTATATTTTCTGTTTTGTATCCTGTAGGGCCGGGTCCAAAATATGGTACTTAGGCCCTATAGTATTGTCATTTAACTGATACTTTTCTTAATCTATGGCATGTTCCTATTAGGGCGATCTTCTGGGCAACTTGTATGTTAAGGTTACTTGGGACACTCTTAGTAAAATTGTCCATTCCATTTATCACGAGGGCCTGAGCTTCATATTACTATATGCACAGTTTCAGACTTCATTCCCTACACCCTGTTAATATCGATCTATAGGTTCTTGTCTTTGAACGATTTCTCGATAATTTTTATGGAGGTGTTTCTCTCAGACGGTACTGCTATGTCGATAAACACACTTCCAGATTGTTTTATCTTTTATGATAATATCAGATCTGTTTACTTTGATTTCTCTGTCAGTTTGAATTGACATGTCCCAGAGTTTAGTTACATCGTTATTTTGGGTAACATTGTCTGGTTGGTGTTCATACCATCTCTCAGTGGTTTCGATTTTGTACTTTTTGCATATCTTCCAATGCACATATGTTACTACCTTGTTATATCTGTGGGTGTGTTCATTTTTTGCTGTGATAAAATGGTCGACAGTTTCTTCAGATTTTCCGCAAGTCATGCATTTCGTGTTAGTACTATCCTTGATTATTTGATAGTGATAGGATCTAGTTGCGAGGCTTTGGTCTTAAGCTGAAATAAATAGGCCAACTGTCTCAGCTTCAACCCGGTGCTCATCAGCCATTGATCTGTTTTCTGGTGGCCTGCATCTGCTTCTTTCGTTTATTTGTCATGCAACGTCTTGTCCTCCTAGTTTATTTTGGTAATTTCTTTTGACCATGTTGATTTGCTTTCTGCTTTACTCATTTGACATAGGTGGCATTCACTTCGTTTTATTGTCGGTAGATTTTCAGGTACATTAAGCTGTTTCTTGACGAGTGCAGATTCTTTGTTAGTGGATTTGGTGTTTTACTATTGGTTTTTGTGAGAAATGCTTCCAATCCGATTGTTTTAGTTTTTACAGTTCAAGTTGGATTAGACCCACGACCTCCTAAACCTCTTGGTACGTACAGCCTATCAACATCTGATTTTGTGTTGTGCCTCCTCATTTGGGTAAGCATTTTTCTGGTTTTGGCGTTCAATCTTTTGTCATTCCACTTCTAGTTAATAATGTTGAAGCTTTATCTTACTACGGGTATAGCTAACGTGTTGATAGTCTTCATTTTATTGGCCCCATTAAAATCGCTTTCTAGTATCAAACGCACTCTCCTGTAATATTCTTTTCGGATCTTTTTCTTCATAATTGAATGTTGTATACCGTCTCCTTCATTAATTCCTAATTATTTGTATGTACCATCTTGGTCAAATTCCTTAATCTTGTTGTGGATATCAAGGTCTAAATGTTTTGTTTTCGTTAATTTACCGCCTCTGATGGTGGCATTAGTACATTTGTCGATTCCGAACTCCATCCTAATGTCTTCGCTGAAGGTTTTGTCAATGGTGAGTAAGTTTTTTCTTCTGGTTGTCATCCTTGGCAAACGTTTCAAGATCATCAATATAAAATAGATGATTTAGGTTGCCATTCTTTGACTCGTATCCATAGTTCCTGTTGTTCAGTAAGCAGCTGAGTGGCGCTAATGCAATGCAGAAGAATATTGCTGACAATGAATCTCCTTGGAAGATCCCGTTTTTGATGTTGATTAGTCTCGTTGTTAATGACCCCGTTTGTATGGTTTAGGTTTAATGTGGTCTTCCAGTTTTTCATGCTCTCCATTATGAATTTGACCTTTGTGGGGCATACTCTGTATACTTTGGGGCTCTTCTCTATCCATAAATATGGTACACTGTCGAAGGTCTTTCTGCAGTCGATCCATGCTATCGATAAGTTCCTTTTCCTTGTTTTCACCTCTTACAATATTATTTTATTGATAATTAGTTAGTCCTCGCATAGGTAACGTCTTCTTTTACATCGCTTCTGTTATGCTGGGAGTAAATTGCTTCTGTCAAGTTGTATACTATCTCGGTTAGGATAGAAGTGAGGACCTTTCACATTGTTGATAGGCAGGTAATGGGATTATAGTTCTTCGAGTTCTGCGTCTCTTCTGTTTTGAGGAGTAGGTATATTACTACCCACCTGAGCCACTTAGGGTATTTTTCTGTGTTTATAATTATATTATTGTATGTCCATGTGTGGTCTTGGTGGGTGCTAAATTGGCTATTTGATCAATTTCCAGATTTTGGTTTTGTAGATGGCAATGGTTGTTCCAGTAATATTAATTTTTACCATTCTACATGTATGTGTTGCTCCTGTTGTTGCTTGATCTATGTAGCTCTTTCATTGTGCATTTTGCAGTTTTCCCACATCTTACACCAGAACTCCTCGACTTCCTGGATATTAGATAGGTCACTTTTATATCTATTTTATTTTCCCTGTTCTTGATATTATTTCTTGGCATCTTCGTTGAAGATCTTGTTTTGCCAGAATATTTTTTCTTTTTTCATAACACCTGCTTCTCTGTGCCTTCG